GTGGTTTCATTTACCGAAGTGTTCTCATAAAATACAGAGGGGCGTAAAGAAAATGACCTCAGAATTTATTTCCTTCTTCATCTCTGTGCCACATTAAAGTGAACTACTGCTTTAATTCACTGTTCTTTCTTTCTTTCTTTCTTTCTGTCAGCAGAACATTCAGTTATTGATTGCACACCCACTCCAGCCCTCCAGTGTTCCTGCCTACCGTACAGCTATTTCTCTCTGTTCGCTCTTACTTGCTTTCTTTCCCGTTAATATTCCTTATACTTTTAGTTTTCATCTGTTTCATTTTCCCTCCTCCTCCTCCTCCCTCCAGCCTGCTACAGCTCAAACGTCACTCTACTCTGCAGTAGAAACAATGCTTTGAAGTTTCAATGGCTTCTCCTCTCTTTTGTCTTTACGCTGATTAGGACCCAGCTGTCTATTATTCAGACATTTTTAATTTGAGTTTGAGGGCTGGCATGTGCATCTTTGATTTAATCATTCAGAAGTGGGGAGAATGGGGTAAAATATGCCACCCCCTTAATCTAACAAACTGTGCATTATATTTTAGAAAGACTTTCATACCCAGCAAACTCAGAACGTTTCTCTAACATTATTGTATGTAACTAACATTATATTGTATCTCTAACATACTGTATATTGTATCTTGTTTGAATATTCCTTTGGGAACTAAGTCCTAACATTCTAGGAATATTCTTATAAGGTTTTTATTTTTTACATTTCCAGAACATTCTGGGATCCAAAATTGTTAGCTGGGTATACAGATGCAAATGAGAACAGCAATCAGTATAGTTATGCAAAAAAATATAATTTGCATGTCAAAGTACATTTTCTACTTAGCAGGTAAAGTAAATTTTATGTAAAAGCAAATTTATCCAAGTCTAAAAAAATAGTTTATACATGTTGCTGAGCTTCCACTATACTCAAGTAGAATATACAGTATTATATTATATTATATTATATTATATTATATTATATTATATTATATTATATTATATTATATTATATTATAGTATAGTATAGTATAGTATAAAGTAGAGTATAATATATCCACCATACTCAAGAATACTGAATATTAAACTTTTGGCTTATGAAAATGCAAATAATGTGAATCAGATAGCCTAATTAATATTACAAAAACTGTTAATTAGCCATTTATGTTAGTAACTGTTTTCCCACACAATTTTACGTGCATACTTTTCATTAAAATTTACTGTTAAAAGTTACATGGGGACTGATTCGGCTTACCTCTTGACATTACACAACTTACACCATACATTTACATTTTTCAATTTCAAAAATGGTCTACTTGACAGGTAAAGTGTATTTTATGCTTTTTCAGGTCTAAAAAATTGTATACATGTTGGTGAATGTTCAAAGTATAAAAAAACTTGCTAATTATTTGGCTCAGTATTAGTCAGCAAATATTAAAACCTTCTACCAAAATGATAGCTGTGCTTTGGGGTAAGATGTGCCATTTTTAAAACAAAAATAAAATAATATTACTTTTTTGATAAATTAAATAAAAATGTATTTACTTTATTCAAGTATATTAAATATTAAACCTTGAATGTGAAGCAAATTAATGTTACGTAAACATCCAGAAATATAACTGGTGTATTAATAAGTGAATAAGTGACACACAGTGTTGCCAAGTCTGCCGTGTTGAAGCTACCCCAATATTGTGATATTTAGCCAATTTCACCAGCTGGAAACCCTGCCAAAAAATTTACTTTAACCCCCAGAAAGCCCCCCTCGGAACACGATCTTTACCGGGGGACCCCCCTCGAAACACTATTGGGCTACTCTTGAGTAACAATTGGGCGGGTTTTGTTGCGAAAACCTGGCAACCCTGGTGGCACATCTTACCCCACTCTCCCTTACATTTACTGCAGAGAGTGACCCTGCTTAATAGAATGTAAACTACTTCCCTCAGAGATTCAGATATCACAGCAGTGAGTGAGTTTGTCTTCGTGTGGGAGGCAGGAGAGAGCATTTGTATGTGTGTGTGTGTGTCTTGTTCAGGCGGGGGCTCGACTCAGTTATTTGATGGCTGCGGCTGAAAGGAGGATGGATGCATGTTTTAAACATTCATCTCTCCTCACCTACTACCTACACAAACACACACACAGGACTGCTGAAATACACCCCCACAGCAGATGCACCTATCTGTGGCCCCTCCCTCCCCTGAATCATGTGGGAGGGAAGCCTGCAGGTCCTTTCAGTGATGAGATCAATGAATGAGCTCAGGCAGAATGCAAGGTCACCTTCATGGACCCAGCGCAGAGCGGGAGAGAAACAGAGAGAGCCGGCGATGTTGAATCCGTGACATTAAAGCTGGTGCACGCTTAGCCCTTGTCGCAGCAATGCGATGTGTTTTCAAAATCATTGTTTACAAAAGCACTTTATTTCTTTGCTTTCTCATCTCAGACACTCCTGCTTTTCATGTACCAATTAGTCGCTGGTAGTGTTCAGGCTTCAAACACCCCTTCCCTCCCTCACTGTAAATGCTCCTGCAGCCGCAGGGAAAGGGATCGAGTTTTCTCTCGTCTTTATTCATCAAGTGAGTCACTGGCAATGGCTGCCCGGAAGAGGTTAAAAAAGAGTTATATGCGACAGAGGAGAGGAGGGATGATATAATCCCCCGTGAAAGCAAATAACAACGAGGATCATTCGGGTGAGGAGAATGGAGCCCAAAAAAAAGGAGAGGAGGAGGAGAAGGAGAAGAAATTGTACCGATTGTAAAGCTTGACCATACTGGGAGATTAGCAGCGCTTAGTCTCGCTCTCTATCTCTTCCGCTCAATTGATGGACTGCAGACCAGTGGCTTTCAGCTAGTGGGCTGTAAACCAAAATGGGTCGTGGGCTTGTTCTGACAGAGTTATGAATAGCAGGGGATCTGATATCTTTTCATATCTTTTGTTTTTGATGTCAATGGCCACAAATCAGTATTTGGGCACAAATTTATCTCTCACTTTGTAGAAGCTACCCAAATTATACAGATGCCAACATGAATAGGTTGCATAACAGGCCTTCATCTTCAAACTATGAACAAAATGACATGTGAATGCTATAAAGCTATGAAGACAGTCCTGTCCCGTTTTTCATAAGGAAATAATGGGGCCTGAACACTGCAACCTTTAAAAAATGAATACTATTAATATAATTTATGGAAAATACAGTAGTCCCACTTATGCTGTTTTTATGCATGTACAAAATTGTTAATTTAAAGGGACAGTTTACCCAAAAATGAAAATGCTGTCACTATTTACACACCCTCAGGTTGTTCCATGTTTTTTTTTTTTTTTTTTTGGTGAACAATTTTGAACTATTTAGCATATTTCATGTTTAATTTTAAAGGAAAATATTGTTTTCAATTCAATCTACAACATTTGTGGCATAATGTTGATCACAATCATTTCTACTCAAAAATCAAGATTACAGTGAGACATTTAAAATGGAAGTGAATTGGGCCAATATTTGGAGCAAAAATGTGAAGCGTAGAATTTTATAAAATCCCTTACAATAATTTATCTTCTAAAACTTTAGCGATATTTGAGCTGTAATGTTGTTCTCACCAAATTTATGGATGTTTTAGGATTTTAGGAGTCACACTGTCATGCCAACAAGTTTGTAAAATTGGAAACAACTTCACAGAGAAAGTGTCGTAAATACATGCAGTTTACATTTCGGGCCTTTTTTTTAAACAGTATTGGTTTGGCCTCATTTTGTAAATACATTGTAAGAGTAGATATTTATTTATGTATTTTTAAATGCGGGACAAGGTTTTTTTGTTTGTGGTAATCAATATTATTGTACAAATGCTGCAAGTGTACCTTAACTTGTATTGAACCTGGAATATTTCCTAAATTACTGTTTCATTTTAAGGACAGTTTTGTTTAATTTTGTGTGTTAAAAATTTTGTTATTGTGCCAGTTTGCCTCTTTGTCATGTGTACATATAAAGAATCAAACCATTTGAGAACTACTGCTGTTGATCTCAGTAGCATGAATGAGAGCCAAACTGTAATTTTCTGCTGTTGTGTTTAATTTAATGTTTGGACAGATATCTGGGCTTCATTCAAAATGTGGCATTAAATGGATCTATGTGGGATGTTTGCAGTGAAGACCTGTGCGGCACTTTGTCCAATTGGACATCGCGCTTATGGTATAGCTTCAAAGCTGAAAGAATGAGCTCACACATTTTGGTGTGTGAAAACCTGTTCATTCTCATGGGATTACATTTATGTCGTCTATACAGGTGCTTAACATCCAGTGTAAATAATCTAGGAGTATCTTTACATTGTGCTCATGGGTAAATGTCAAATTATAAATATTTGACAGTTGCTAAGTAACCTCAGAAACCACCTGCAGTGGTACATGAACGAATTGATTTAAAAATAGATGCAGCTGAGTTGTCACTGTATATACGTCCTGAAAACTGTTGAATGGGAAACAGAGATAGAGCAAATCAAGCAAATGTGCAGCATCATTAATAAAGAACAGTGCATTCTCAAAGACCATTAGCATGAGTCTAAGATTAAATGACAAAAACAGCTGACAGATGGAGCTGAGTGTCTATAGAAATGCAGAAATGTGTTACAGCAGATGGAAAGTACTGGAGAATGGCGCCACATTGTGGTGAATATTGAAAATCAGATGTAGTTGTGCACTATACTGTTGCTAATGTCTCTGTTCCAAAACCTAGTGATCTGCCTACAAAGACATTTTAAGGCACCATAGGCATGCTCGCAACATGAAGCGTGTTCCAAAAGGTAGCAAACAAAACAAATTTTAAGCAGCATTACATATCCTTCATGCAGAAGGAAATCCTAGAATATACTGCAATGCCATTAGAGAAAATAATGCCCACAAATGGTGGTTAAATCACAAAATTGTCATTTATAAAAAATACTTCAAATTCATTCAATAAAGAGAATGTTACAAAAATATGCCTGTGGTGACATTTACGCAAAAATATATTATATTGCCTGTTGCACATTTCACAACACTTTTAAAGTGTTTTAAAGTGAAATGTCCAGTGAGTGCTGCTAAAAGTGTGTTCTGTTTTATTTGACACAAACGAACGGGAATTTGGAAATGTTGGTTGTTGTATGTATTGTACTGGTGAACGGCGCTTAAAGGTTAATGCTCTATTGCATTTGAAAACCAGGTGAGCTACTGAGCAAGTTTACTATATCAGAAAGGTCATGCATATAGAGCTGGTTGTGTGATGCAAATGTCAAAATGCATTAGTTTAAATCAAGTGCTATGGCAAAAGTATTTTAAGAACTGCGCAAACAAAAGCCCCGTAATCATAATTTGTGTAAAAGGAGAGTTGGAGTTTTACTGCCTGTTCATTTCAGCTGGAAACAACAGTGAATTTTATGTATAACTATGTTTTTTGGAGTTTTGTAGGTGGAGGTTGAAAAAGTTAAACTGATTAATACATGACTAATGAATTTACTATTTTACCACATATTTGTGTGTGCTACTTATTTATATGGCTATTTGACAAACAGTTCCTTAGCTTAGCAACATGCTAACTGCAAACACTGTTAAAATCAACTGTGAGTGACACGGTAAGGACATTTTGTTGTACGTTGATCAGTTTGATGTAAGTGTATTTCATGCTGTCCTGACAAAATGCCAATAAAAAAATTGGAAATAAAATCAACTGTGAGTTGCGCCTCCTGTTTTTGCAGTGTTGCTGCCTATGACGGTTTCCAATTGGTCACTTATTTTGCCTTTACATTTAAGATTATGCCTATGGTAGCTCACTGGATTTTGAAACAGAGCCATTTTGTACTTGGACTGTAATGAGTGCAAAGTCACTAAATGCCTAGTGTGACTGGCTAAATAAGAACTAACTTGGAATTTAAAAGATAGATATTGATTGCCTATTGATATGGTGACATTTTAAAGTATTTGATCTTTTTGCTCCAAATTATTTTGCTGTGGTCACCGAGGAGTTTTGAAGGTCAGAAAATACACACATACACACACAAACTGCGGAAAATATGGGGACGCCGTCCTAGACTGGAGTTCCTATAGGTAGTCGGGGTAAGCAGACATAAGCATGGGCGTAAAGATTGATGTCCACAGGGTTGCCGTCAAGCCTGATGTCCTCCAGGGCTTTCCGTATGTAGTTTATGTCGTGGGTGTTGCAGAAAGTATCTTGGCCTATGCTCTGTATATTGTTGTTCTGGAGGAAGAGAGAGAAAAGCAGCATTAAATCTGAGGATATTATTTGTTAGAGTGAGAATAGCAGGAGTTGTTTTTACCTGCAGGTGGAGCACTCGTAGGCTCTCAGGGAGGGGTACGGGAATGTAGTCTAACTTGTTGTTTGACAGGTACAGGAACTGCAGTTCCTTCATCTTCTACTCAGGAGAGGAAATGAACACAAACAAGATAAGATTATCAAGTTCCATGTGCTGTTTGTAATTTGTCAGTGGAAACGTACTTATTTGGTGAGGATAGAAAATGCAATAAATAAAAAAGGCATAATGTCATGGTTTGTTTTTAGAGAATGTATCTTCAACATAAGTGAATTATGTTATACTACATTGGCAGTTTTTTTTCACTCATTCTAAGTGTAAACCTAGAAAAATAAAAAATCTGCCAGCACAGACAAAATTGACTCGTACACTCTCAGAAAAAAAAGGTCACTAGGGCGGTACCCTTTCAGAAGGTATTAATATAAACACTTTATATACATTTAAGGTCCTAATAGACCCTTTTTAGGGATACATAAAGTACAAAGGTGTTCATTTTTAAAAGTTATAAAAAGTGATTGCTTTTTTAGAGAGTGTATTAAAGATGCATTCTTATATTTAATATATTCTAATATCTTATGCAGTGTTGCTTCTCAAGTAAATTCATCTTATTTTAAGGATTTTTAGAAATTTTTACTGAAAAACAAGTTTTTTTATTATTACTTTTATTCAGCATGCATTAAATTGATCAAAAGTGACAGAAAATAAATTTATAATTTATATTTTACATAAATGTTCAAATGTTCTATCCCTCAAATAATCCTAAAAAATGTATCACAATCTCTACAAAAATGTTAAGCGGCAACATTTTCAACATTGATAATAATAAGAAATGTTTCTTGAGCACCAAATCAGCATATTAGAATGGTTTCTAAAAAAATCTTACCAACCCCAAACTTTTGAATGGTTGTGTACATACCATAAAGGCCTCTGCATGCATGCCTGAACTCCTCAGCTGGTTATTGCGAACGTCGATGTGTTTGAGGGTAGCTGGGAGTTCTGGAAGGGCCTGGATGTTGTTATCAGCCAATATGAGATCCTGAAGCTGAAGCATTGAACGAAAAGCATCGTCGTTCACTTTACTTATCTGGTTTCCACTCAGGTCGATCCTTTTTAGCTGATCTGAGAACAGCATTAAGTGCAGTTTTCTTAAACATACTGTAATTCAGTTGTATTCGTGATACAATTAAGTCTTAAATCTAGATTCTTCATTAGCTAACTATCTATGCATTTTATTCCTGATGTAAACTGCGTAATACAGCATGTGTTTGAAAAACCACATTTGTATTTGCAAGAAAGAAGACGTCTCTTCGAGTCTTACTGAGATTGATGAAGTCTGTGGCCCTGACCTCCGTGATCTTGTTGAAGCGAGCGTAGAAGTGTGTGGTTTCTTTAGGGAGAGGGGGAATCTGAGTCAGATCTGAGTCATCACAGTACACACTGCCACTGATACACACACACAGCAGGCAGGAGGGCATGCCTGCAGTAGAGAGGGAGAGAGGAACATATTATGACGGTTTACATCACTAGAGGGCAAAGATTCGCGATAGAAAACACAATATTTCTATCCCTTTCAAACCAATTATCCATCTACCTAAGCCTGTGTCAGGCCCAAACAGACCCGGACCATGGAAGTCTAGAGTGGAAGGGACGGGTGACTTTGTCGGACGGGGCGGCAGTGTCACTTCCTCCACATAGTCCTCTGGAGGAACTATAGCAGGTGGCTGAGTGACTGCTGGAGGAGGAGCCAGCGTCCCAACCTCAGTCAGTGAGAAGAAACAGAGGTCAGACAAAATAAATTCACGGAACATAACAAACATTCCTAAACGTGTTCATAGTGACTCCTTCTGAAAGGGATAGTTCACTCAGAAAACTACAAATTCTGTTATTGTTTACTCACCTGAATGTCTCTCCAAACCTGTATGACTTTCTTTCTTATGTGGAGCACACAAGCTGATAATTTTTGACAAATGTCTCTACTTTTTTGTCCATACAACCGAAGTCATTGGGTTTAAAAGCTTGTCAGCCTTCTTCTGCCGCACAACATATATGTTGTATAAATGAAAACATACAATAGTAATATATTTCTGACATACTTTCTTAAAGTTAAACTGAATTAAACTCTCAGAGCAGCTCTGGAAATGAAGTTCAGTGACTTTAAAAGTTAATTATCGATATTATGGTCAAATAAATACCAATATTGATACCTACTTGGAATATATACGTTACTTTTTGCTTACTTTTCTTTAATGGTGTTGTGTGTGTGTGTGAGAGAGAGAGAGATTTTGGAGAGAAATAGCACTTATCCTCCTTTACTCTGATTATGTAGTAAAATACAGTTTGATGATCCACCTAACATCCGAACTTTCTTCTTTTGAGCTCAGTGGAAGAAAGAAAGTCATACAGGTTTGGAACAGCATGATGATAAGTAACTGACGACAGAATTGACAAACTGACAAAATTCTTGAAACCTCGCCTCACCTCCTCATCCAGGTCATCATAATCATAGGTCTCTCCGTACGGGTTTAGATTCCATGTGTTTGAGTCATCGTAATTCTCCAGGTCATATGCTGCAGGGCCCAAAGTAACTGGAGGGGCACTTAGACTGAAGCCCATCAGGGTCCAAACAAGGTACAGAGCCATCTATAGTAGACAAAGTGAATGATCTGTGTAGATGTACTTAGTACTTTGTCATTGTGGATTTGTGATGATACATTTGAGACTCCTTATGGATTCAACATCACTGAGCGTCATGTTAATCCACAACTTTCTTATTATCTGAAAACTGAGCTTTCATTCTGTGGTTTAGGCAATGTCCTCTTTTTTTGCTCCTTCGCAGGAGCTCTTTGTCTACAGCCCTGTGTGCCTGTCACGCCAGTGTTTGTTTAACCTTTAAGGTCATTCTTTCTGGCTGCATAGACACGTAAATCCATAATAGCCAGAAACATCACACATAATGACAGTGTGCAAGTGCATACACTTTAGACCCTCCACGTATTTGAAAACATGAAGTGCTTGTGTGGTTTGCAACATTAATCTATCAGACGGCTGTAGTTGGATATGGAACATGGCCTAACCAGAAGAGTTTTGGAAAGAAGGCTGTTTGCTTTAATCGCTGACAAGGATGTGCAAGCAAAAGTATGGGTTTTCTGCACATATATCTTTTATCAATAAATCCTCTGGAATTGCTTTGCAAAAAGAATCTAAATAACCTACCAAATATAACATAATAAATCCAAATCACGCGTCATCCTCCATACTGAATCAACACAGATGGAGTATATAATACACATCTACATGGTCGTCAATGCTGTGCGATCAGGGGATGACACCAACCTTGCCTTCCCATAAACTCCTAACAGCTCTAGCCTGACACATCAGTATTCAGAGCTCTCCTGGGCCCATTCAATTATTCATGTAACTCGGTTCTAAAATATTAAGAATGAGACCAGTTACCAAGAAGTCTTCACGCAGCAGGAAGGAGAAAAATAAACCTACCTTTGATGTTTGTCTGTGAACAGCCATGGCCCAAGAGTGGATCTTAGGGGAACAGTGGTATGGAAGCTGGACCTGTGTTCTTCTGAGGTTTAAGCAATGAATAACTCACCCAGGATTGAGGACACGAGCAGGTTAGGTGAGGGGGAGAAGTGGGAGCTCAGCTGGGGGATGGCCAGATCAGTTTGCTCAGCTGTCACTAATTCTACACCCAACAATAGTGTAGTCTCAAGACTCAGTCTGGTTTGGTAATTTACCACTTTCTACCGGCAGGTTGTTATCATCATGTGGTTTTCAGACATGTGTCCTAGGGAGGTGTTAGGATTCCTGTTTTTGGCACTATGTTTTATAATGTTTTGGTGTTCCAGAAGACAATTTCCAATTCCTGGAAGCATCTTGAATTGTTTTGGGAGCGGTCAGTTCACCCTTGTGGTTTCCAGTCTATTTAATCCTACACTTTTTTAGACCTCTTTATATAATAGTGAGAACTGAGAAGAAAATTGCAATTATGCTTGCAATTTGACTGAATACCCTTTAAAGTCTGATTTAAACTAATGGACTTAATGTTATTTCATGCTGTATTAAGCAGGTCGGTGAGGTCAGCTGTTTGTGATTTAACTCGGACTGATGTCCAATAGCAAACCTAGAGAACGACCTTTGACATCGTCTGATTTTTTACCGGCGTCTGCCTGACGAGACAGCTGTTTCAGATATCAGACATTCCTTTGCTAAATACTTTGTACAGATGACGAGGAAGGAGCTCAGGAGGAAGCACTGAGGTGCAGAGGATAAAACTTTTCCCAGGACTATTTTCACAAAGATTTTTGTTAATGTTTTTGAAAGAAATGTCTTTTGTTTAACAAGGTTTGATCCAATATACAATAAAAATTTTATTATTTTGAAATATTAACTATTTAAACATTTTAACTATTTTCTATTTTAATATATTTTAACATGTCATTTATTCCTGTGTTGACAAAGCTGAATTTTCAGCAGCGATTATTCCAGTCTGCAGCATCACATGATCCTTCAGCGATCATTCTAAGTTGGTTTGTTGCTAAAGAAACATTTATTATTGTTATCAATGTTGAAAACACTTGTGCTGCTTAATATTTTTGTGGAAACTATGATACAGGAGAGCTGTAAAGCCTTTTATAAATTAGCATATCTTCAGAAATTTTCTAATAATTATTTATAAATAGATTTTTAATAGGGGTGCTCCATTTGATCGGCTACCGATCACTATCGGCCGATAATCGCTTTGGGATGATTGATCGGCGGTCTCTAAAAAGGCCGATCTAAAAAAAAAACGGTCTCAAGCTGATGACGCGACTGCCGTGAGAGGTTTGGCACGACAAGAAGCGGCACCGTCTCAGTCTCTGTCCGGCGCGTGTGAAATAATTATAATAATTCATATTTTTTAATTAAATAACTTATAAAGTAATTTGAAAATCTTGTGTGAGACAAACAGCATGAGTGAATCACCACGCACGCTCGCTCTCTCTCTCTCTCTCTCTCTCAAATTACACAAATGAATTGACACGAAAATGTAGTAAATACACCATAAATGCATATTATTAAAGTCTACTGTGTTTCACAGTCAACACATATGGCTTTTTAGCAAGGTTTAAAGGGAAAGAGCACTTTTAGATAAACAAGGCAATAGATGGCACTTGTGGAGGTAGTAAAACAAAGTTCTTTATGAACCACAGGATTGCTTGAAATAAAGATTTAAATGCAAAATGAAAGGCAGTAGAGCTGACTATTTCTGTCAATGGTAAGTTTGTGATAACGTAAGAAAAGTAGTTTAAATGTTTTGCCACTTGCTTGAACAACTTAATAAATGCAAAAGTAAAAAGCATTGAATAATGTGTTGCTTATTTTTTTTTGTTTAAACATGTATGTGAAAGATTGTATTACTGTACTGTGTAAAAAAAAAGAATTGCAATGCTGAAAAAGCATTTTCAGTGACAATGTTTGGATTTGAAATCAAAATAATGGATAAATGTTGTGTTTGTGGTAAACAGCCACAGATCAGTAGTGGACTCCTGTGTGAAAGCTGCTTCTCCTCTCACAAGAGTCACCTAAGAGGGGAATTCCCCCCATTTTCAAAAATGAAATTCAGGCCCTGAATAAATGTCTAAAAATCCTGATGGGAGTAAATAAATATAAATGATAAAAAGAAGGCTTTAAAAAAAAATCGGTATCGGTGATAGGTATCGGCAGATACTGCTTTCTGTGATCGGCCTCAAAAATCCTGATTGGAGCACCCCTAATTAAAAAAAAATAATTTAATTAAAAAAAGTTATTGTTTTTATCACAGAAATTAGAATTAATTCTCCATTGCAGTAATATCTGTTGCCACAATACAGTGCAACATCAGTGTGCAATAATTTAAATCTTATATAATACTGGGGGGGGGAAGAAAGTGTTCTTCCCTGTTAAACTGACTGACTTTAACAACAGTTGAAATAATGACAGTTGTCAAGTTTTGATATCCACCTGCTGGGGGAGCAAGCGTGCTAAGCTGTTTGTAACATTATACAGCATTTCAGGAAATATTTTCCATCAGCCACCTGAATAACAGTATAGACAAGCCATGGAGGATGTAAAAAATTACAGAAAGCTCAATAGGATTCTTTCTAAGAACGAGGACGATATGGCCACTGTTGGCATTCAGCTGTTGTAAGAACTATTTTAGTATTTAGTGTATAACGCTGCAATTTTTTGGTGTTGTTTTGGACAGCTGGCAATTGAAACAAATTTAATTAAAAAAAGTTATTGTTTTTACCACAGAAATTAGAATTAATTCTCCATTGCAGTAATATCTGTTGCCACAATACAGTGCAACATCAGTGTGCAATAATTTAAATCTTATATAATACTGGGGGGGGAAGAAAGTGTTCTTCCCTGTTAAACTGACTGACTTTAACAACAGTTGAAATAATGACAGTTGTCAAGTTTTGATATCCACCTGCTGGGGGAGCAAGCGTGCTAAGCTGTTTGTAACATTATACAGCATTTCAGGAAATATTTTCCATCAGCCACCTGAATAACAGTATAGACAAGCCATGGAGGATGTAAAAAATTACAGAAAGCTCAATAGGATTCTTTCTAAGAACGAGGACGATATGGCCACTGTTGGCATTCAGCTGTTGTAAGAACTATTTTAGTATTTAGTGTATAACGCTGCAATTTTTTGGTGTTGTTTTGGACAGCTGGCAATTGAAACATTCTTTCAAATATTTTCTTTTGTGTTCCACATAAAGAATGGTTTGAAATGACACAAGGGAGAATCAATTATTCTTTTTTTTTTCATTTCCAGATGAACAATCCGTTGAAGAAATAATAACCGTCAAGACGTGACAAAGCAAACAAGAGCTGTTTCTACTGAGTAGTACTAATGGGAAAACAATATTATTGAAAAAGATACACCTGGGAACATGACATTGAACAGAAAAACATGACCAAATAGACACATGAACTTATATACTCCACACCCCAGTCTTTAAAGTAGTTTGTTAACTACCAAAAGAAATCACTAAAAATACCATATACAACTAGTGGTGATGTTTATGATTCATAACTATTGATTTCGTTCAGATTTGTTCTCTGATTTATTATGGTTTCTCAAGGTTCCACCAGTAGGTGAGTGTTTATTATGTATTTGCAGTGATTTAGTCACTCAACAGATTCAAAAACATGCTTTTGTTCACAAGGTCCAAACTAAAACTACATTCTTTCCTTTCAAAAATTCAAAAATACCATCATCCAAGCCAAGCAAGTGGAAGTGTGGCTTCTATAACAACCTCTGGGAAACAATGTGCAGTTGGCTGGTAGGTAGGATTACTAAATAACCAGAGTTTTTGAGAGCATGACTAATTGCTCACTCCTTCATTAATGTTCTTGTGTAGCAGATAGTAATGATAAAATCAAACTGCTCTTGAACCCGGTAATGCAAGTTTAGAGAAATAGAATGAAAACGTCTCGGTTATGTATGTAACCCTCGTTCCCTGAAGGAGGGAACGGATACGTCACGTCGGAGGACCAACGAAATTGGGATCTCGCTTAGAGGGACCAATCTACTTCGAGTGTAAACTAAACGAGCCAATGCACATTGGCATGCGATTATTGCATCCAGCTGCTGCTGATCACAGCGTGAGTATAAGTAGGCAGCAGGTGCAGCGCATATTCAGGTTTTCGCTGAGGAGCCGAGCCGGTGACCCGGCCGCTCAGCGGTGGTACAGGAGCTGTGGCGACGGGACGTGACGTCTCCGTTCCCTCCTTCAGGGAACGAGGGTTACATACGTAACCGAGACGTTCCCTTTCAGTCGGTCACTCTCGACGTCACGTCGGAGGACCGACGAAATTGGGATCCTACCAAAGGGCCACAGCTACTGCCCCTTCCAGTGTCCTGTGGAAGCCACCTGCGCCCCTATTTTTTGGCGTAGGCCAGGGCTTCACAAGAGGACCAGCTACTGCTGCAATGGCACTACCCAATGAGTAAGACTGGATAACACTAGGAAAACGTACCCGTTCTACTTGGAACAGGGGCGTTACGGAAGCTCGAACCTTCCCGAAGGAGGTTTCGGAAGCAATACACATATGAACATCCCTTAGGTGCATATGGAAGAATGGAGGTGATTGAACCCTCTTGGAATGGCAGAAGTCTGCCGGGGAAACACGGGCTCAAGGAAAAAGCTCTTTTAGCGTGCTGAGGCGCACAGGGGAGATGATCATTTGCAACACGAACAGGGGGTAGTGCAGCCTGATGTGTGCAACCCACTCGACACGGGAAACCACCACCGCTGAAGCGCCGTCCGCCAACACGAAGAGCTCTCCAAGAGCGTGCTGAACTCGTTCAGTCTTCTCTCCGTAGAGTAGTCAGGAGCGGAACGATGTGATCGCTCGGCTCCGAAGCGAAAAGCTGAATATGCGCTGCACCTGCTGCCTACTTATACTCACGCTGTGATCAGCAGCAGCTGGATGCAATAACCGCATGCCAATGTGCATTGGCTCGTTTAGTTTACACTCAAAGTAGATTGGTCCCTCTAAGCGAGATCCCAATT